GATACAATATATTAACAAAAATATCCAAAGAGATATAAAATAAATGTATTTATTTCATTTAAAAGCTGTGAATTGCTGATAGCAAGAGTAAAATTATATATGCATAGAAAAGCAAGTATACTTGTGTTATATTGTGCTTAGGATAAAGAATACGAAATTTACCCACCATATCACATCTATAGTAATATAATAAATCTGAAAGTTTGTTTGTTAAGTCGCGCTAATCTAATGTAATAGCTAATTAGTCCAATCACCTTAGGCAAAAAAAAGGGCCAACCTCGGAATCGGAGATAATAAGCTGGAAATCCGTACACAGCTTTATTTTGGCGTTCTAAAACTAGACTGAAAAGTCTCATGTGATCTCGTGTCTGCGTCGAGAGTTATTGGAGGTAAAAGATCGCGAAAATAAATATCCAGCTTATTATCTGAAATTCCAAGGTGACTGGGCGAAATCATTTTTGTGTTGGATAGATCATTTTTCGAGGAAATCTTCAGACTATTACGCCGCGAACAATACGAACGTGTAAAATGTGGAAAAAACGGGGAATTTTTCTTATTTTGACGAAATCCCGTTGCGAGCTTTGTGAAAACTGTTCAAGTAAAGACAAATTATTTATGTAAGAATGAGTTCTTTAAAAATCGAAAATAAATTGAAAAAAAAATCCACTCGGGCAGGACTTGAACCGGCATCGTCAGCGTTCCGTGCTGTTGCTCTACTAATTGAGCTACCGAGTCCTACAAGAGCTTTTTTTAGTTAATTATAAAACTACATCTGTTTCATTCGTGATTAATGTAATTTTCTGAGAAATAAAGATTGTTAAACTGTAACTATTCCACGCGGATAAGGTCGCGGGCACAGCAAGCTATTAATATATAAATGTTTGATTGTACAAGTACATAACAATTAACGAACTACCCCCTGTAGCTTACGCGAGAAGTACACATTTGAAATAAACGTAGTTAGTCGTAACTAGCCGCCAAATACTGACTACGACGGAACAGATGGCGCTATTGTAGCAGTTTTTAATTTGACATTTTGAGACACTCTTAATCTTCAGTCTCCACGTGATCACAGCTACTGCAAAGCATCCGAAACGTCGAGTAGTAGTTAAGATAAGTTTAAATAAAATCTTTTACGTTTTAAACCCGTAAAGTGTTTTATTTAAATAGTCAACTAACGAAAATATATTTTGTAACTGGAGAACTTACACCTTTTGCACCTTACTTCACAAGAAAATACAAAATATGCCTGTCCCCCAAGAAGTAGGTCAACGGAAGCGATAGGCATCGGACGATTCTCCTTATCTTTTGTACGTGAAACCGAAAAACTTCACGCAGCTCACCCGTAGAATGACAATGAATTTGGGAATGTTTCCGATAAGTAATATATATGTCTCTATCTTAACTTTGAGTGAACGGAAACTAACGATGCTTTCTAAGGCATCCATGGCTCCGTTGTGGTATAAGATATTTACGCAAAAAATATTTTTTTACCTAAGCGTAAAGACAATGATATACAGTACATAATATTATATTATGTGCGAGTAGGGTAGTATTAGTATTATATTATAATATAGTAGTAGTATTATATTTGTTTACAAATACTTCTCTTTTAAATAAAACACTTTAACGGTTTAAAACGGGGGAGCCCCCCTCCCCGTGACCACGGCTGCTGCAAAGCATCCGAAACGTCGGGCTGAAGTTAACAATCATTTTCAAAGGTTTAACTAACATAGTTTAACAGTTAAAATGTTTTATTTAAATACTCGTATTTAAATACTTCTGCTTTATTATAAATACAAACATTTTAATATAACTCAAACACAATTTCAGTTAAT